CTAAGAAGGTCACAGAGAGCAAAGAAATCTCCTAAGTACCTAGAAGACTACATAACATTGCTGGCAAGGCAAAGGCCAGTAAACAGTGGGAGCACTGGGGAGCAAAATGTCATATAAAATAAATGTTGTATGTTGGTAGTAGTTTTAGCCCGGGGGAAAGGGGTGTTATGTCCCGAGCCTTTGCAAACGGCTCGGGCGTTTGCAGGCAGTCCCGGGCAGGTGCAAAGCTGCCCGGGACCAGACAGGCTGTCGCCAGCGCCGTGCGCATGCGCGGGTGCTGGCGCGGGAAAAGTAACCCATTTACCCGGGAGTTGCCTATATAAGAGGCTGCGAGGCGTTTGGGCGAGGCTGAAGCCATCTTCCTGTAAGCTGAACGCTGAATAAAAGAAACTGAGAACTCCAGCTGCTTCTCGTGTCTGTTTTCCCGCCAAGGACGCAACACATTAGTTGAGAAGAAATATAAGAATCTGTTGAAAACAAAAGGCCTAAGTGGGGCAAATGGCTGTAGATTTGGATGCTGCAAAAACCTTCAAAGATTAAGTCTTGGCTGCTGCTTGAGTGTATTTTTTTGCCCAGTAAATTTAACACTTAAATAATGTTAACTTTTTCCCTGCTTCATCTTTGGTTTCTAGCCCTATTTTTCCTTTTCCCTCCTTTCCCAATGTTGCTAATACTTTCTCTTACGTTCTTTTCAACTTTTTTCCTCCCTCCCCCCCCTTTGCTTGCTTTTTAATGGGAAAATATGTACACGTAGGATCTGAAAGGTTTATTTATAAGCGGGAACAGTTGCTACAAACACCCGCATCAATTTATTTTGTAAATGGCAGAGCTTATTTCATAGGCAATTAATTTTGATCAGTAACTATTCATTTAATTAATAATGTCCTTTTATTGTCTGATTTTTGTGGAGGAAGGAGAATTTCCAAGATAGGTTTCAGCAGGAGTCGATAGTCATTGGCTGGCAAGTGTGCTGGCTGTGGAATTCTGGGAGTTGAAATCCACACATCTTCAAATTGCCAAGGTTGAGAAACACTGGTCTTGTTGCCTCCATTACCAAGCACGGAGGGTGATCGACTTATTTTTTTATAAATTGTCTGTAGACTAAAGATCGCCTTCAACTTGAACCCAAAATTTCCACTGCTAAGCAAGACAGTTGTTAAGTGAGTTTTGCCCCATTTTACAACCTTTTTTTACCATGGTTGTTAAGCAAATCACTGAAGTTGTTAAGTGAATCATGCGGTCATTAAGCGAATCTGGCTTCCCCCATTGACTTTGCGTGTCCAAATCCAGCTGGGAAGATTACAAATGGTGATCACATGACCCCAGGACAGTGCAACTCTCATAAATGCATGCGAGTTGCCAAGCGTCCAAATTTTGATCATGTGACTATGGGGGGGGGATGCTGCAATGGTCATAAGCATGAAAACCAGTCATAAGTTACTTTTTTTTAGTGTTGTTATAACCTCGAACAGTGACTAATGGTTGTAGGTCAAGGACTATCTGTATACTGAAAACTGAGGCAAACTGAGAGTCATATTTGCTCTAATGTATTTAGTATAATGGTCAATCCCACTTTATTTTATCAGTGCCTTTTTATGTTTATCAGATATACTTTCCAGAAAGAAGTGCCAAAGGACTCCTGAAAAGATTCAAAAACACACTTCCATGGAACACGGGCTTCCGGGTTGATCTACCACATCCTTATTCTTTCTGCTTCTTTGACCAACACAGTGCACCAATGGCTTGTTTACCCAATAGTGTGTCAATAATTATTCTGAGATTATGTATTTGCACATCAATCAACATTGCATACAGAAACATTTACAGCTACCAGTATCAGACATAGCAAGGAGAAAGAAAGAAATTTATCAAGTAACTACCTAGATTATTTTATTCTGCATATCTAGCAGTAGTTTGTTATGCATTGCTTTAATTCGCACAGTAAACCTGACCTGAGATAAATATTGCAAAGGGCAGCATATAAATGCCTCCAACAGTGGGACAGCCATTAGTAGGTTTCCTGGCTTTGCTTTGTTCACCTCCGCAGCAGCCTCATAATGAAGAAATTAAACAGGGCAGAATTTTCTGGCATCAAAATTGATGGCAGGAAAAAGGCTTCCCTGGTTCATCTGTGTGATCTCAGCTGCTAAAGTCAGCAAGAGGGTGTGGGCCAATTTAGAAAAGAAAAGAAAATAAAGGAAGCAAAAATAAAAAGCATATTTGCACATGGTCTAATCCTTTAAAGAACAAACAGAACAGAAAACAGGACCGAATGCAATATGGCACAGATTGCGAGTAGTTTGGTCGAAGCCAAACAGATCTGGCTTTGATTAATATCTTGATGGGAGAGAGAGGGTGGCTTCAGGAATGTACTAATATATCAAAAAGAGGATCAACACTTTTTTTAAAAAAAAAAAAATCAAGAGCTCTATTTTAGCAGCTGCAGCCTGGCATGAAGAAAGTGAATATTTGACAAATTCTCGTCTAGACCAGGGGCGCAATGGCTCAGCGGAGATGGTCCTTGCTCCAGTGCTTCAAGCCCTAGCACTGCATGGCGGGATGAGCTCCCATCACTTACCTCAGCTTCTGCCCACCTATCAGCTCAAAAGCATGTTATATGCAAGTAGATAAACGGGTACCAATTTGTAGTGCATCGTGTGGATGGTTAGAATCCTGATGGTGTGGGATCTTTCCAGGTGCAACACCTGTTTACAAGGTGGCTTTGATGGAGGGAGAGAGTCCCAGACGACACTGCCAGAGACCCACTGAAGTAGCTCATCCCCTATGGCACACCTTGGAAAGTGCACAAGTGTGAACCAAACAGGACTAGCCATCTTAAGCAGCCAAACTACTATTCTGTGTTAGCATTGTAGCACCCTGGCTAATGTAACATTACCATATGCTAAATAAATAATTAAATAAAATCCAGACCAGGAAGAGGGAAGAAAAAAGTTGCAACTATAGATGGTGAGAAGGAAGACATCAGTAACAGGAACAGAGTTGGAAGGGACCTTGCAGGTCGTCTAGTCCAACCCCTGCTCACACATATTGCCCTCCAAAGCATGAGGAGTTCTGCTGGAGGAAATGTTGACCAAGTTGTAAGTGAGCTACCATGCAGCTCAGATCTGGAGCCTCACCCTGGCCATACTGACAGTCATTTGGCCCCCTTTCCACATGCATGGAGCTGTCCTCTTCCTCAAAGACATTCCAGCTGTCTCACTAATCTCAGTTCTTGAGCAATATGACAGACAATGACACTGCACAGGAAGCCATGGTGAAAGTAAGTAGACGGGGCCCAAATCCATTCCACACCAGGCAGTTTAAAAATCACCCATTATGTTGCTGAATGCTTAGAACAAACAAAAGAGAAAAAACCAATGACTTAAGCATGCAAACCAGAGCTTCCAACTGCCTGTTTTGCAGTTGGACTCTCAATGGCTGTAATAGATCATTCAGGGTTTCCAAAGGAGAAACAGAGATCATCCTTCATCAGTTTATTGTGCAGAGCCCTTGCCTAATGTGGGGCCACTAAAAGGTGGCCAGATGCAAAGGAAACTGGGAAGAGGGTGGAGGCGGCAAATATTTCATCACTGGATAGTAGACAGAATTCCAGCAGGTTCTACTTTCCCCCCCCCTTTATGCACCCTTCTTTGCTTCAGTGCACATTGTGTACAGATCTGATCGTCTCATTTCAAAAAGGATATTGCAGCACAGCTGTAGAAGTTCCAAAATAACCCACAAAAACAACCTCTGTCCCTCAGTGGGCTTCTCCATTTGGGATGGTTTGGTTGAGAAGATAAAAGAATCAAATGAACTAGATCAGTGTTTCCCAAACTTGACAATTTTAAGGCATGAGGACTTCAACTCCCAGAATTCCACAGGCCTTAAAATTGTCAAGTTTGGGAAACACTGAACTAGAAGAAGAGGCACATGTCTATGTTATGGTGTCTCTCTGGAGAAACAGTCTCCAAATCTTCTGGACTGGGTAGCCTTATTACTGAAACATTTTGAGCCTGCATTCTCAATACAAGTATAATTCTTTATTTATACATTATACACATACATTGCATACATACAATAGATGAAGTACATTGTAAAACATTCTGTCTCATATTTTGTATCTTCTGTATATTAATCATTAGTATATCTTTCTTTAGATTAGATTAAAATAAATGGAAATTCTTTCATCTTTCGGTAGATGTTGCTACTCTAAGTAGACTTTTTGCACGTCTTCTAATTCCTTTGTCTAACAACAAGGGCACAAAAATGGGGCTCCAGCTATCCACTCATTCTTTTACTTAAATATTTATTGGCTTAGTCAATTTTGGTATTTTCTGACATGAGCAGCACAACTAAAAGACTGTTTTTAGATAGATATTAGACAACCTCTTGACCTACTGGGTTATCCTTTGAGAGAAAGGTAGAGCAGTCTGATGTGAGCAGAATGAACATTGAATTGTAGGCTGACCATATATTTTTTTAACCTCAATGTTGACAATCCCATGATCATCTAAGAAGAGTAGCATATAGCAGTATTCTAGTATCTGAGAGGCTGCCACAAAGAAGAGAGGGGGGGGGGTGTCAACCTATTCTCCAAAGCACCAGAGGTCAGCACGAGAAACAATGGATGGAAACTAATCAAGGAGACAAGCAACCCAGAATTAAGAAGAAACTTCCTAACAGTGAGGACAATAACAGCTTGTCTTCAGAAGTCGTGGGTGTTTCATCCCTGGGGTTTTTAAAGAAAGGACTGGACAGTCACTTGACTGAAATGGTATAGGGTCTCCTGCTTGAGCAGAAGACCCTATACCTCCAAGGTCTCTTTCAGCTCTTATACTGATTAAGTATATTTATTTATTTTATTTATTTATGAGACTTATATACCGCTTTAAGTGCAAGCACTCTCTAAGCAGTGTACACCAGTAAGCAATGTATATATATATTTACATTGCCCCCAACAATCTGGGTCCTCATTTTACCTACCCCAGAAGGATGGAAGGCTGAGTCAACCTTGAGCCGGTGAGATTTGAACCGCTGACCTGCTGAACACAGTCAGCTAAAGTGGCCTGCAGTACTGCACTCTAACTGCAAATGGAAAAATAATTGGCAAATGAATTTCAATAATAAGTCAATATTTCTTTACCTAAAGAGATAAACAGAATGACCGTGTGGGGGGGGGAGCAGTGGGAGCAGGAGCAATTTCCAACTTCTTGCTGATTTCCCATTGACGTTACTTATGGGAAGCTGACAGGGGTGTTGGAAATCACAAACACATGATTGCTAGGATGCTGCAGTGGCAACAATTTTGCAAATAAAACTGGTCTGACCATTGTGGAAATGTCAATTTCATAAGAGTAATGAGTCCCAGATATGTTTATGCATTCTTTAAGAGAGCAGATTTTAGATACTTTGATGGAAAAATCATTTCAGTATAATGTGCTGTTTGGACCAACTTGAGGGTACAAACAGACAGATAAATACAATGACAGTTTTAGTAGTATATAGATATTACAAAGCACCTTTTATATGTTGTAATGCCTTAGCATATGACCTACATTCAAGGAATTATAATCTATAATCCATCATAAAAGAGAGAACTATGATGATAGGGGGAAATAGTGAGAGAAAGACTAGCTTATTTATTAGAGATGGCAAATAAAAGAATGGTCTGAAAGATTTGTGAGTTTGGATGAGAGCTCTAAAGGGAGAGAAAATCTTTCTCCAGTTGAGCTTCAATTTTGATGGCTACATAGACTATGTCATCTTCTTGGCAGCAATATGGAAATGGTTTATCTTCTTTTAGGATTTTTTTAGTTCCAGCCTTAAGATTTTTTGGGTGGTTTCCCATCCAAGTAATAACAAGATCTATCCTTCATAGCTTTACTGATTACTGAAGGACAGCTAGATGAGAAAAAGCAAAAGGGGCAGAATAGTTTCATCTGAGGAATTGGAAGACCTTGGAGGACTGAAGGTGAGAGATTTGGCAAAGCATAACTGAGAGATCGAGATACAACATAAGACTAAAGAGATATGGAAGAGGCTTAGCCTTAACAATGGCTTTGGATAGAGAGAATATATTTCTTCTCCATTCTAAGCTATAAAATACATTTTCAAAACAGAAGATCCAAAATCTTTCTAGATAGGCCCGGAAAAACTTTTGCATGAAAACCAGTGGTGGGATTCAGCCAGTTCACACCACTTCGGCAGAACCGGTAGCTAATTTTTTGTTGCCTAGAATGGACTTCCGGAAGCAGCATCCACACAGAGAACTGGTTGTTCACATATTCGAATCCCACCACTGATGAAAACCTGACAACAGCTTTTATGATTATCAAGGGTCAAATACAAAACTTACCCTAGTATTGTGAAAACTTGATCTGGGAGCAGGCAGGATCTTGGAATTTGAGGAGAAGCTCAAGAAATGAAATGTTTTTGACAATGAAACACAGAACAGAAATAATACGTATAATATAAAAATATGTACCATGTACACATGCAACTTGTGTACAGAGAATTCATGCCTATTAGACCAGATTGCCCTACAAGACAATCCTTTATGAAGGGCAAGATTTGCTGTATTAATGGGAACCCAGCATGGCCAGTTTATTTCCTCTTATTTGCAAACCCAAAGTGGAGTCTTCCTAGTCTTCAACCCCTCAGAGTGAGGTTCAGTCAGTCAGTTCTATTTGACTTACAAGTCCCCCATTGGCTGCCACAGAAGATGGAATAAAATACAATGATAATAAGAACAGAAGTTAAAACTCCGGGAATTTAGTCCTCAGTGAAAGTGTAGGTGGTTTTCTGGCAGTCTGGAGGACAAATGAAGATCTTAGCCATGAAGAGAAAGGGTGTACAGCTCCCGAGAGATTAGCGGCACCAGGGGATTTTCTGGGCAAAGGTGTGCATCACCCCTTTGTAGGCATCACGGAATTGCCGGTTCATGGCAGCATAAAGTAGTGGGTTAATACAGCTGTTAAGCCACGTCAGATTTGCAGCAATCATGTGCAGGATAGTTGGAGCCCGGTTTTTGGCATCAAAGATGTTGATGAGCAAAAAAGGGATATAGCAAAGAACAAAGAAAATAAAGACCACAAAGCACATGCGGGTCACTCGGTGGAATTCTGAGTTGCTATCCTTGGGTTTGCACGGGGTGGCTTTCTTTGATGGGACTGCAGGCTGGGCCACAGGTGGAGCTGTGCTGCTCTCCAAACTTGGGGGAATGCTGGTCTTGGATGTGGGCTCCGAGGGCAAACCATCACAGGAATGCTGTGAAGCACCTGCGCTGTCCACCCCACTGTCCAACTCATGATACTGTCCTGGTACAGCTGAGCTGGTTCCAGCTACATGAGTCCCCTTCAGGCTGGCCTTCTTCAGCTTGTATTTATCCAAGGCCTGGGCAGCACTCTTGACTTTGCGATGGATGAGGAAGTAAAAGATGCCGACACAGCTCAGGCCCACCACAAAGTAGAAACCCATGAGGATGGTGGTGTAGGGCCTCCCACGGATACGATGGAAGCTGCAAGTACAGACTTTGGGGACCAAGACATAAACCCGCCACAGGGGGGCAAAACTGATAATACCAACAACCCAGGTCCCCAAAGCTATTAGTATCACTCCCAGACGGGTGAAGATGCGATCAAAGAGAGCCATATTGGCAATGAGGAGGTAGCGGCTCACTGCTATGAGACAGAGAGTCAAAATGGATACCGAGTTGGAGACAAACAGCAGCATCCCAAAGACACGGCAGAAATCAGCTCCCGTCCTCCAGTAGAGATGCAGATAGGAATCCACGGAAAAGGGTTGCAAAAAGGTGCAATACAGAATGTCAGCCAAAGTCAAATTGACAATGAGTAGGTTAAAGCGTGTCTGCAATTTAGTGTCAATAGCATAGGCCAACAGAGTTAACACATTGCCCACTGTGCCCACTATTGTGACCACAATGCCCCAAGACACTGACATGTAGCGGTAACCAACAATAGATGGGTCATAGCAGGAGAAGTTGCCAGCAAGATTTTCCATCTTGGCAGGAAGTGGCAGGAACTAGGCCTCCCTCCGGGGGAAAGCTTGGAAGCAACCACAGCAGTGTTGATTCTAGAAGAAAGGAGAGACAGACAGAATTAATCCAAAGTAAGTTCTGATTAACAAAGATGTCAGTGCAGACATAAGGAGTATCAATTCAATATATAATATACACAATGTATAAAATGAAATATGTAATCAATTTGTAGGATTATTTGACAGAGGCAATCATTAACGCCAATAGCATAAATACGTTTTCAAAGGGTAAATGCATGGAAGATAGAAGTCTAAAGATGGGTCGTAGCCTCAGTAACCGAGAACCAACCATCCATTCATAAACAATATATCTCTGATGATCATATGTGGTTTACTCTGTTTTCAAAAGTCCATTTTGAAAATGTTACAAATAAAATCTTCAGTTGGTGTACAGTTGGAATAGATTATAGATATAGAGATATATGATAGAGATAGACAGAGAGATCCAGAGCCAGATCCGAACCACTATCAACCAAATGGCTTGCTTATCTATGGAAGCTTTGACAAAGGTCACCCAGCTTATTTTTTAGAAGAAAATCCTCCATTAGACAGGATGGCCAAGTCCACTGAGTTTAAACATATACTGTATTGTGGAGTTACTGTTATATCATAAAATATTGGGAAACATTTCATGATATAACAGTATCACTTCTAAACACTATAACAATATCAATAGCAGCCTGGGGGGAATGGGCAGGCGGTACCAATGGTTAGGAATTTGATTGTATTTTGTATGAATAAATGGAAAATAAAAACTTTTTTAATAAAAAAAACAATATCAATTCCAAACAATTCTTTGTCTTCTGGGCTTTCTGCCTGTAGATTATTGACACCAAATCATTTCAGAGGCAGGGTTTGCTCTGTGTCTCTGCCGTGCCTAGGCCCTAGACAGAGTTCCTGTCTCCTTTGGAAATTCCAATATGATGATTGAAAGAAAATTGGAAAATGTTGGAGACCAACAAACAACAAATATTCTGTAAGTGAAAAGAGGGGTTTTTTTCTGCTAGCCTTCCACAATTGCTATGATTAGATCCACTACAGCATTTATTTTATTGCAATAGTAGTGAATATCTGTAGCTTGGGTGTAGGATAAGGGCGAAAGTTCATTCTCTGAGCTTGTGGGTTGGTTTCTGAACGTTTTGTTACCAGCGGAGTTTATGGGATGTCCATGTTCTTCTGTTTATAAGGGCTTCAGGTGTGGGTGTGTCATGTGATGGGTCTTGTTTTTATTTTATTTTGTGCACATGCACACATGTACTTACTATCTAATTCTTTTCAGGGAACAGAGATAAAAGTTTTAACTCATTTCTTCTTTCTTATTGGGCCTAATTGGGATATTGGCAGGGCATTTTTTTCAATTTTTTTTTTAAAAATAATTTAATTAATTGTTGACTTCTCCCAAAGACAAGATGTAAAGAGTAACTAAGTGCGCTATCCAAACTCTCATATGAGAAATGGTTCAAGAGCTCTAGAGCAGTGATGGCGAACCTTTTAGAGACCAAGTGTCAAAACTGCAACCCAAAACCCACTTATGCATCGTCGGGTGCCAGGTAGGTGTGGCCCATTGGGTGGGTGTGGCCCATTGGTTGGGTGTGGCCCATTGAGTGGGCGTGGCTGTGGTGGTAACAGCAGACTGGGTGGGACTAAAAAGTTCAATCAATCAATTCCAATTTTGCAAGATCTTTTTTTTCCTGCAAGGTTGAAACTGACTGACTGATGGAACCTTTTTTTTTTTTTTGCATATGACGGCGGAGGCCTAAAGCGAAAAGGTTTTATAAAACCCAGCTGAAGGCCTAGGACTGGGGTGACAGTGCCCGTGCCCACAGAGGGGGCTCTGAGTGCTGCCTCTGGCACCCGTGTCATAGGTTCGCCACCACTGCTCTAGAGTATCATCCTAGAAATCTAAAAAAAATTCCTTTAAGAAGTAAAAGCTTTTTAGTGCAGTCTTCTCCAATCTGGTGACCTTATAACTCTGTTGGACATCTCTCATCATCATCAGTTTGCCTTCAGATATTCAACTGGTGACGCTTGAAGAACAATATGTTGGAGGTTCAAACCAATGTCTTAACATCCTGAATAGTCTTCCTAAAAAATTCTATTACGTTGATTGCCAACAAAATCTCAACCCTTTTGACAAACAGGACCCTTTTTATATTATAGAGCTCTGGTGACAAAATGTTCATTTAAGACTCCCACATCTTACCTTACCTTACCTTACCTTACCTTACTTTACCCTACTTCCTTTCCTTTCCTTTTTCTTCCCTTCCATTTCCATTTCCTTCTTTCTTTTTCTGTCATACTTTCTTGTCACTTTTTTTTTTACTTGAGGGTTTTTCTCCTTTTTTCTTTGTCCATCAAATTTAATGTCCCAGTAAAGGGGGTGTTTGAGAAAAATCTGAACTATCCAAATTGCCAGTGAGTGAATGATTATTAGTTTTACTCTCTTGATTGAAGAGCATTAATCTACTTGGTCATTTCCTATTGTGGAACAGCCTGGATAGTGCTCCATGAAAATTGTTTTCCCTCTCTCCACAAATTGGGGGGAGAAAGATACTGCACTGCCTTCATTCTAGTAGTTTAAAAGTCTTTCTTTCAACCTATTTTCTGTCAAGAGCTCTTTGTGAAATAGATGGAAGTTATCAAGACAGCCCCAGACTTTCAGCTAGTCTGCCATCAAGTTCTATGCTCTCCAGATTGCTGAACTATATGTCCTATACATCCTGCCCCTTCTTTTCAACAGCTAGAACTTTCCCCCATGTCCAAGTCTAGGAGTGATAAAATCTATCGCTATGGACTATTTCTGGGTTCTTGTGTGTGATAAAGAGACCAAGCTGTAATCCTGAAGGATTCCTGGGTCCTTCTCTTATCTCCCCATTCCTTATGAAAATATATGGGGTTTTGGTTTTTTTTTTTTGGTCAGCTGAGGCTTTTTCTCTTTTTTGCTTTCTCCATTGAATTCAATGTCCTCCCGCATATTTGAACAGGAAGTAAGTGGATGAATTGTCTTCTGCAAATTTCAGCTTCTGCTTCAGGTTTCTGCCATTTCAGTTACTGAAGCAGAGTCTGAAAAATTGTTGGCAAATCTATCTCTACATTGTTGAGCGGACACCAGATTTGAAGTGAACAAAGAACTTCAGCTTGCTATGTACTTGCTGGATTTCCCTCTTTTACATAATATTGGGCAATGTAAGAATCTTGTGCCCGTTTCCCTTCAACGGGCTGTGAGAGTGGCATGTATGGAAATGAGGTAACAGTAAACAGAACCAGCAAGAATTTGGAGGCTGATACAGGCATGGCTGAATGGAAGCTGTTCACTATAGCATCTTTTTCTGCTTCCCCCCACCCCTAAAATTACAGTTATAGTTATTCATGTTATTTTTTTACTTTAACAATTTTTTTTCTAATGCAAAATGGTGTTTATCTCTGGCAACATTAATCTATAATCACGGGAAGCCATCATTAAGATTTATAATTATGGGATTTAAAATCGCCTTACTACATCCTAAATTTCCAACTGGTTTCACCCTGTTCCTGTGTCTTAAGAACATATCAATCCCCCCAAATCATCAATCAGTAAGTTTCACAGCAAGAAAATAAGTGCGACCAGGCACACTTCAAGTTGTCATGACATATTCGAGAGCTGAGGCTGATCCATGCAATATCTTCTTACAGATTCTCAGAATTCTACCCATACACATCCAGGAGGCATAGAAAGCAGAAAATAAATTCACAGAACTAGAGGCACACCAATATTTTCTCATTTTAATTTTCTTTTGAATAAAACTTTCCATAAATGAAGTAAACCAGAATGACTTACTGGGAACACAAGAACCAGATGACTCCAAGTAAACGTTCCTTTGCTGCTCCTAGAATCTTTACCTTTTTATTTTTTGACACCCATATTTATAAAGGTTCCTCCCAGGCTTGAATTAAGGAAGGAAAGTCCCAGGTTTCCAAACTCCCTGAAGCAACTTCCTCTTGTGACACCCTTGAGCGCCTATTCACTAGACTGACATGTTCTTAGAGAACTTGGCCAGCTCTAGCCCCGGCCTTCAAGAATGCCTGCAGACTCGCCCTTTGCAATTAGTGTGAACAAGCCTCAATAAAGATTAAACATTAAATTTAACTTGCCTGGGATGAAGAAGGGGAGAAAAAAAAAAAAGAGAGAGAGAGAAAAGAAAGTGCTGCTTCAGCCCAACCAATTTTGTTCATGAAGCCATCAAAGAAACTTATTGATTGAGATAGGATGTTACACTTGCTGAACAGAAATATATATGAAAACTGAAGGGAGGGCAACTCATTGTTATTAAAGGTGTGCTATCTCAAATGTGCTCCTTTGTAATTCAGAGTGCAACTTTCCATTCCCCAACCTCAAGGGTAAATGTGTAGCTTCTGCATATTAATATCCTTTGTGCGGTTGCCTACAGCTTTTTTAATGTCATCGGCATTTTACATAATAGACACAGCTTTGGCATTTGTGTGTGTATGTGTGTGCATGTGTATGTGTGTGCCCCTTCAAATCAGTGTTGATACCTGATGAAAAAAATCCCTGCAGTTTTCTTGGCCAGATTTTGGGAACTGGCTTGCCCTTGCCTCCTTCCTAGGGCTGAGACAGAGTGACTGGTCCAAGGTCATCAGCTGGCTTCATGTCTAAGGTGGGACTAAAACTCACAGTCTCCCCATTTGTAGTTTCAGGCCTGAATCACTAGACCAACAGGGCTTTTAGAGTACGATAAGTATACCATATGTCTCTTAGAGTAAGATAAATCAATAAATCAATAGATCCATACTGTCAGCCATGAAAAGATGGTCAGGTCTAAATTTTGGTCAGTAACGATAAGGTGACCAACCATCCTCCTTTAGGGAGGACAGTCCTCCTTTTGTAAGTTCTGTCCTCCCTCAAAAAGTGTCCTCCTACATGTCCTCCTTTTTGATAATTTGAAGACTAATATGCAGGGCTTTTTTCCCCTCACAGAATGCTTAGAATGGCGTTCCGGCACCTTTTTTTGATGGTTTTTTTTCAACTTTTGCATGTGCTGTGCTACTCCCGCTATTGGCTTTTGAAAGCCAATAGGAATTGCTGCTGAGCGTGCCAAAACACCCCGTCAGCAAACTTTGCACATGCAAGTTGTCTGTATTATTGTTGCAATGAATAAAATGTTTCTTTTATTTACGATATTTTTTCTTTAATTTATTTGTGTCCTTTTCATTGTAAAAAAGTTGGTCACCTTAGTAACGACAGACAATTCTTTGAATTAAAGAGGAAATGCTGATAATGAATACCACCTAGCATACAACAATAAATTGTGGCACTGAATAAAATTGCAAGTTTAGCCTACAGGGAAAAACAAATCTTGTGATTTTGGAGAATCATTTTTATTTTTTTAAATGTAGATTTAAAAATTTATTTGATAGTTGATTAATATGTGATATTTTCTGCCTTTTCCCCACTAGTTGTATTTTCTTGATATTTTCCTGAATACTTTCATATTTTGTATTCTTTTTTATTTCTTTCTTTAAAATTTGTTAAATAAAATACCTATTTATTTATTTATTTGTTTGTTTGTTTATCCAATCTATAGGGCCATCCCTCTCAACCAGTGACTATGGGTGGTGAACAGAAATAAAATAACATAAAAAATAATTATAAATGTTATAGAAGTTAAAGCACAAGCAGTCAAGAAACAATAAATCAGATTACAAATACCACCAAGAAACAGGTCCCTAAAGATGTTCAGGGCCCAGAGCCAAATTTTTAGGGCCTTACAAAAAACCAGAGAGCTGGGGCCAACCTAATCTCTGGAGGAAGAATGTTCCATCATAATGTTCCATAATAATAAGAATACATCTAAAAGGATAATGTGATAAAGTTTAGGAAAACCATAAAATACAATGAAAGTATAACACTTAAAATCAACTTGCAAAAGGTTTGCATTAGGTAATTATACTGTATATATAGATTTGTAGTTGTTTACTGTAATAACGTATTATACATGACATTTTGTTTTTTCCTGTAGTATATTTTCACTTATTTTTGAACACTTGCATGTTTTTGTGTTTTGTATCTTTTGTTTTTGTTTTCTGTTATTACTTTAAAAATTAATAAAAATATTTTAAAAAACACATAAAATCATAAAAATGGAAAACCCTAAAATTCAACTAAATAAACCTTGGCTATAATAATGGACACAAAACACCAGCAGGCTCTTGTGAGTGAAAGAAAGCTGGGTGATCCAATGATAGGGCATGTTTAAACATATAAACATTAGGGAAGGTTGTAGGAAAATAGGAAAAGAAAAAAAGAAGAAGCAAAGCATAAAAAAAGAGAAGGGAATCAAATCCATAACTGGAAAGGATAAATGAACCATTTGTTTCTCCTCAAAAGTGAGAAACGGGGTAAATAAACTTCTCCCAAAATACACATCCTGTTTTTCTGTTCTTTGAGCAGCAACAGTAAACAAGCAACTAAGGCAGTGAGATTGGGGTTAATATGGAGGATTGGGGCTAATAAAGTGTTTAAGCTGCTCCATGAGAATGGTACAGTTTCATAGAATGGTAGAACTGGAGAATCTGGTCCAGCCTCCTGCTCAAAGCAAGAGTCCTTATACCAGAGGTAGGCAACCTTGGCTATTTTATGACTCGTGGACTTCAACTCCCAGAATTCCTGAGCCAGCACTGGCTCAGCTTGGAAACCTGTCCCTTTCTCCTCAGCATGGCTGGCTCAGGAATTCTGGGAGTTGAAGTCCACGGGTCATAAAAGAGCCAAGGTTGCCTATCCTTGCTTCTATCATCCCAGTAAAATAGTTGCAACCTTTTCTTGAAAAGCTCCAGAGAGCTTCCAATTCACATATATATCAAGAAGTGATATATATATATATGTTTATATATATATATGTTTCTTTGGAAACATGGTCTGAAAGCACCAAATATATTCAGATGTGAAGTCATGATCTTTCCAGTCTGAGCAGATGGGGGAAAACGCACCTCCTATGAACTTCTCCCAACCTCTACCACAAGGGTGAGATCTCCTGAAAGAAAGCATGAAGATCTTGGAAAAGCCAGGGGAAAACAAGGTATAACGAGAGAAAGCCATCCACATCTGAGAGAGACAAGGGCAGAATTCCTGGGAATTGACCAATGGCCCTCAGCTAGGGCTCCATCACATTTCACAGCTGTGAGGGCAAGGGTGTGCTTCTGTTATGGCCACAAAGAGGTGGTGCTGATATGTGCAGTTGGGAGGAGAAAACATTCAGGAAACAACCTGAGTGGCTTGTTGCTAGAAAGTCAAGGAAGAGTAAGATGCAGGTAGTCTTCAACTTACAACAATTCATATAGTGACCATTCAAAGTTACAATGGCACTGAAATAAGTAACTTATGACCAGTCGTGGGATTCAGCCAGTTCGCACCATTTTGGCAGAACCGGTCGCTAATTTTTTGTTACCCAGACCCAGAATGGACCTCCAGAAGCGGCAACCACACAGAGAACCAGTTGTTCACATATTTGAATCCCACCACTGCTTACGACCGTTTTTCACACTTATGACCATCGCAGCATCCCCATGGTCGCGTGATCAAAATTCAGACACCTGGCAACTGACTCACATTTATGACGGCTGGGGTCATGTGATCATCTTTTGTGACCTTCTGACAAGCAAAGTCAATACTGGAAGCCAGATTCACTTATCAACCTGTGTTACTCACTTAATCACAACAGCAATGATTCACTTAACAAATGTGTCAAGAAAGGTGGTAAATGAGGCAAAGTTCACTTAACAAATGTCTCACTTAGCAACAGAAATATTGGGCTCAGTTGTGGTTGTAAGTCGAGGATTACCTGTGATATGCAGGTTCTGAGGTTTTGCTTGATTAAAAAATACAGGAAACCAGAAGTTGCCTTCAAGAGTTACGTGTTCATTCAGCTGAACAAAGACAGGCCTCTCTAAAAAGAGAAAAACCCCAAATATCGAAAAAGCCTTATTTTTATACCTACTTTGATTACATAAGCAATTCTGCCAGCAAAGCTGACACATATAAGATAAAGACTTCACCTTTTAAGGCTGGCACACTGTAGATAAAAAGGAAGAAAGCAGAAGTAGCTAAAATGTTCCCTTTTGGATGGTTTGGGTGTTTCCCCAAGGTACCATATGTTCCTGGGTGGGTTAGAATATTGGGTGTTTCCTTTGCTGTCCTTTTATGATCTTGCATTCATAGTTCTGCAAGTGGCCACAGAAAGCGGGACCATCTCCACGTATTCACAATTGCTACTGTCCCCTAAGTCTGAGTCAACACCTGTATTGACCAAAGCCTGTTAACTTCCCATCAGGCAGTGGGTTGGCCATTGTAGGAAGGAAGAGGATGCTCTCTACAGTGTCTTGCTCTGTTCTAGCTGGGCTTTTTTTTTTTTTTAACCTTCTGGTGTACGGTGCAAAAGTATCTCCTTCCTTCTCAAAACATTGTGCAAAATGCTGGCACTTGTCATAAGAGAAGCCATTTTGTAGGCACCTAGACCAATCAGAGAAGACTAAAGTACATTTCCAAAGGTCTAATTTAATAGCAAATGGTGGACAATTGAAACAACATGTTCTGTTTCCAGGAGGTTGTGCATCCAAAGACTGCCAGGTATATCTTAGAAGCATTAGAATTAGGGCTGGAAAGGAACCTCAAAGGTTTTCTAGTCCAACCCCCTACTCAAGGCAGGAGTCGTATAGCATCCCAGTCAAATGGAACACAAAAATTGAGTTTTCTTTTCGTACATGGCAATACCTGCAACTCTGCGGTTTTTCCAGGCAAATCTAGTTATGTGAGATACTGTTTGGATAGTATTTGTTTCTCTTTTCTTTAAATATGGCATCAAAGATCACAGACAATCTTTGCAGACAATGATTGCAAGCTCCCGCAACATGGACTGGAAAACCGTGCCCTATTCTGAAGCTGTTGGATCACATCTTCTGCTCTTGGCTATGCTATGTATGGGAATTTGAGCTTAACAACATGTGAAGAGCAACATGCTTTCCTACCTTTGCCTGCAGTCTGATGAAGCCTCAGAAGTATGTAG